CTCCCTCCCTCCCCCTCCCTCCCCTCCTCTTCCTTCCTTTCCTTCTTCCTTCTTCCCTTCCTTCCCTCCCTCCTCCCTCCCCTCCCTCCCTCCTCCCTGCCTCCCTCCTCCTCCTTCCTTCCTTCCTTCTCTTTCCCTCCCTCTCCCTTCCCTCCCTCCCTTCCTCCCTCCCTCCCTCCTCCCTCCCTCCCCCCCTCCTTCCTTCCTTCCTTCCTTCCTTCTTCCTTCCTTCCCTCCTCCCTCCCGTCCCTCCCCTCCTTCTTCCTCCTCCTTCTTCCCTCCCTCCCCCTCCCTTCCCTCCCCCTCCTCCTTTCCTTCCTTCCTTCCTTCCTCTTCCTCTTCTTCCCTCCCTCCCTCCCTCCCTCCCTCCCTCCCTCCCTCCCTCCCTTCCTTCCTTCCCTCCTCCCTCCCTCCCTCCCTCGTCCCTCCCTCCTCCTCCCTCCTTCCGTTCTTCCTTCCTTCCTTCGCTTCCCTTCCTTCCTTTCCTTCCTTTCTCCTTCCCTCCCTCCTCCCTCCTCCTTCCTTCCTTCCTTCCTTCCTTCCTTCCTTCCTTCCTTCCTTCCCTTCTTTCTTTCTTTCACTACTCACATAGTGCTTTCCACATTCTCTCTGGGTTTATAATGATTTTCATAAGCGCCTTTTGTTCATTTTCTAAGATCCTGCAGAGAAACAATTAAGTTTTACCAACCATTTTATCTCACATCTTACACAATAGAAAGAACTCAAACACATGTTTGTCAGAGGATAGATACGTTTTAACTTATTTACATAAGCAGTTAGATGCCCTCTTAGAGACACCATCTGAAGGGCATTGAGCAGAAGAAAGATAACATTCTGAAAGGAAACTGCCACTTCCAAGGGAAGTGAGGCCAGATTTGGAAAATAAGCAAATAGTTCTTTTGCTGATGGCATTTTAAGCTGTTTCCAGCCCTTTGGCCAATTGGTCTGCAAGAAGCGCCTAAGTGAAAAGAATTATTGTCATCCCTGCGACAAAGGCCTCATTCTTTTCTCTTCTGAGCATCCCGGCACAGATGGAGTCACCCATGGAATAAATTTAAGAGACACTAAAATGTGTCACTTTTTAGGCCAAGAAGATTGATTGGCTTTCCCCGTGGTGAAATGCCCACCGTTAGACCACATGGTAGAGCAGGTTCAGAAAACGTCCTTATGAAAGATCCAACACTATTCAGAAGCAATGGCACGGCCGCCCATGGGCATCCGGGGTCCACTGAGAACACACTTGCACTAGCAGGTCCCGAGGCAGAGCAAGATTTGGGCCGCAGCATGGGGCGTGGAAGGTTCTGGAACACAGACTTCTGCAGCAGAGAGGCCACAGAAGGAAGCCCCGGAGCATGCAAAAGTAAACTTCACCTCCCCTATCAGGGTTCCTGGGGTGAGTGCAGAGTTTGGTTCACGATAAGGACAGTTACCCGGACATTCAGCTTACCTTCGTGATGCCAGTTTCATTTTTCTTTCCAGGCGATGTGTAAACATACTTAAAAGTATAATACCCATGTTTCTCGTGGTGACCCTTGTACGTTATCTACAGAAACACAACATTAGATTTAGGCGGGTTTATCTCTGGCTAAGACGTTTTCTGGCTCTCTTTTAGATAGCATAAGAAATTTTTTTTTTTTTTTTAAATTTGGGCAAAGTCCCATTCTGGCTTTGACAAATGGTAGTACTTCCTATAACCAACCACAGGGGGGCGCGCGTCAGCCAGTCCCCGAAGATAGCATGTCATTTTTTTTTCTCTTTTCTTCATACCTCTAAATCTGTCTTCCCTAAGAGTGACTGTCAACTGCTTTTCCTCCCAGGGTACGTCGATTTTTTTTATCACCGAATTTCAATGGCAATGGAGCATGTGGAAGTATTTTCAGGTGCAGGGGTTAGGGGATTAGGAGAAAGACAGGTTTTATGGTATTTGTGTCTGGTATCTACTTGGCAAAACTCACAGCATCACGAACATCCAGGGTCTGAAGTGTGCAGTTTTGGCCTTTGCAATTTTCAGCTGAGCTGGAGAACGGGAAGATTGTTAGCTCTTAGAATTTTCTAGAACTTCCAGGAGAGACCGAGATAAGCAGACCTTAAGCTGCGATTTGGTGACATGCATACCCGGAGAGGAATTGTTTAACTTTCTGGATGCATATAGAAAACTGACTCCATGAAAACAGAATTTTCCATTAAGACCTGTTAGCTAATTTCTCCTTTTCTCGCTTTTTATGACTCTGAGAGCAAAATGTTTGTCGTGTGCACGTGTGCGAAAATATTGTTTGCTAGAATCCTTACTCCCTCTCCCCTTTGGATGTTGCCTGGCAAACCACTGTTTTCATCTGAAGGAAGAAACTACATCGAAGAGAAACTAATCTCTATTCAGGATGTTTTCCATTTTTCTATCACACGTCATGGGAGTTATAATACTTGATTAGTCAGAAAATACCAAAATTATGTTGCATAATTCTGCACTTCCATTCTAAGTACCCGAGACTATTTTGACAGCTAAAATGTTCTCTTATTGACTTTTTTTTTTTTTTACAGAACCAAAATAGAGTTATTTGAGAAGACGAATTCTGTTTACCCTCTGTTCTTCCACACATCCTTGCTTAGTTTTCTCAGTCTGTGGTTGAAATGTCTGAAAGGAAACAAAAAACAAAACTTCACCAAAGAGAACATTCATTCTTTCATTAATTCTTCCAAACAACAAACGTTTCGTTTATTTATTTTGCTCTCACCAGGTTGTATTATTCAATGTGGAAAATTATTCTTACCAAAGGGAGAGATGGACACACTCCTCACTTGAATATATATTTTTTTCAAGGTTACGAAAGACTGTAAGGAAGGGAGGGAAGGAGAGACAACTCCATTCCCAGTCCAGAGCCGAATTTAAGCTCAGAGAACCATCAAGTGGGGGTGGGGGAAGGGAGGGCTGGCACTCTGGGTAAAGGAGCTTGGCTGTCATTGGTACCCACTGAAAAAGAAGTTTTCACTGGCACACTAGAAACTGTTAAATATAAGCGGATTAAAATCAGAGTTCAATGGTGTGGACTCTATGTGTGCATTGATTATATATATATATATATATATATTTTTTTTTTTTTGAGACAGAGTCTCACTTTTTGCTAGAGGTAGAGTGCCATGGCGTCAGCCTCGCTCACAGCAACCTCCAACTCCTGGGCTCAAGCGATCCTCCTGCCTCAGCCTCCCGAGTAGCTGGGGCTTCCAGGCATGCGCCACCATGCCCGGCTAATTTTTTCTATATATATTAGTTGGCCAATTAATTTCTTTCTATTTATAGTAGAGACGAGGGTCTCGCTCTTGCTGAGGCTGGTTTCGAACTCCTGACCTCGAGCGATCCTCCCGCCTCGGCCTCCCAGATTGCCAGGATTACAGGTGTGAGCCACCGCGCCCGGCCCTTCTGCTTATTCTTGTATAATCTTGTGACTTTTAATCTAGACCTTTGCATCATCCTTCAAAATATCATAGCATTGAAAAATAGTTTTGAAAAATGAGACTACAGGAGGAAGAAAACATAAAAATAAGATGGACAGATTTTAAACAAAAGAAAGAAATGACAGCGTGGGGAATTTGGCATCTTCTTACAGAACACATTTATGTATTAAAAACACCCTTGACAGTCTAAAGTATGTGAGTATAGTTCATGATTTATTGTGATTTATAGCAAAGTCTTTCTAGTCTAATTACATATTGGTATGCAATGAATATTGCAATGAATATCCATTGAATTGCACGACCCGATAAACATCTTTTTATTTTCTTCCCTTCTTAAATTGTTTGGAATTTGGCTTACAATTCCAAGATGTATTCAAGTGACTCAGTCTATACTAATTTTTTAAACCACCAACCCGTTGTCAAATAATGTAGGTAATTGCTAAAATGGGATTTCCATTTCTGGGAGAAAAAAAAAAAATCACATTTACCCATTGGCTGTTCCAAATGCTGTCTCCCTGTGCTTGCTGAGCCCCTTTCCTTGGAAATCTGCACCCCTCCCTTCTCCACCTGCACCCACTTGGCAGTTGGTCCCACGCTTGGATGTGGCCCTGTCGTGGAGGTGGCATTGCCTGCCCCTTTTGACCAGTGGTCGTTGGGGCGACGTGGACATGGCACATGCACTGCAAAACGGCCAACAGAGCGCCACCCCGGCTGTTCCTTGGAGTATGGTGCTCAGAATAAAATCCTTAGCTGGTTGGCCAGAGCTGGGTTGGCAGGACCCGGGCCACCACCCCCGGCATCTGAGCGTTGAGGTCCTGTGCATCGAGCCCGACAGGTGTCATTTGGAAGCAGTGCCGCGTCCCCACAGGACTTCGAGCTGAGAAAGGGGACACACTCAATTGACGTCTGCCGTCCTCATAAACAACCTGGGTCACCCTTGCCAGTCTCGGTTACCCGACTGGTCACCCGCTCACTCGGGACCCGGATTTCAGCACGATTGGCGATGGAAGGAACCTTCCTTTCCATGGTTCTCGGGCTGAAAAGGTCGCTCTGAGTAGTTAGGATGCTGTTCAGACAATTCTCTGATCAGCACTGTGTCTGCTCTGCAGAAAAGATCTGCCACACTCAGCATTTTCACAAGATAATTTGGTCGCATCCTGAATACTCATCTGGGTGAGTCACAGGGAAGAAAGGACACGAAAGGAAATGGGAGCTTGGTTTGGGTGAGGCTCAGGGCACTACATCCCATAATAAGCCTTGCTGATGAAGAAGAAATCGTATTAGCAGGATCCCACAGTGTTTGAGTATTGCAAGAAATACAGAAAAGCTGTCATCTTTTTGCATAATCATCAATTTACAAAATCTAGTTAGTTAGCTTTATTTTATTTTATTCTTATTTTTTTGACACAGAGTCTCACTCTGTTGCCCGGGCTAGAGTGAGTGCCGTGGCATCAGCCTCGCTCACAGCAACCTCAAACTCCTGGGCTCAAGCGATCCTCCTGCCTCAGCCTCCCGAGTAGCTGGGACGACAGGCATGCGCCACCATGCCCGGCTCATTTTTTCTCTATATATTTTTAGTTGGCCAGTTAATTTCTTTCTATTTTTAGTAGAGACGGGGGTCTCACTCTTGCTCAGGCTGGTCTCGAACTCCTGACCTTGAGCGATCAGAGTGCTAGGATTACAGGTGTGAGCTACCACACACCAGGCTTAGTTAGTTAGCTTTAAAACATACATGTCAAATTCTTTAAGTCGTTAGTAAAATATTGAAATGTTCTTTTGGCATGTTATGATTTGTCTTTGAGTAGCACTCATTAGTGGCAGCTGATTTGAAACTCGGTGGCCAGATATTGGTGTTGTCAAACATATTGGTTTTGGTGGCCCTATAAATGCAACATGGTATCTTGTAACTCAGCACATGTTTGTTGAGGGCCTCCTTGGTGACAGGCATTTGTGTTAAGTACTGGAAGCTTTCTGTCTGCTCGGTACTTTATTGTCATGAGTTAGGTACATGCCACTATAATTTAAATAGGCATTGCTTAAAAGAAAAATAGGTAAAGACAGCAAGAGATTCTATGACACACACAATCCATTGAGAAGTGAATTTGCAAATGCTTACTGGTGCTGCCCACGCGACGGTGAAAAAGAGCAGTCCCACACAGACAACTTGCATCTTTGAGAATTTCTGCGAAAAGACAGTCATATTTTACCCTAGAGCACTGCTAATTATGAACTGCAGTCATAAGAAGAAACAAAACAAAAACACAGGGTTATATATACATATAAGCATCCTTCCCCTGGGCAGTTTATTTCCTTTTGATATATATATATATATATCAATAAATTACACATAGTTTATATATGTATATATATAAACTATGTGTAATTTATTTACATCCAAGTGTGCATATATTTTTATTTTATTTTATTTATTTAATTTTATTTTAGCACACATCACACCTGGGAAGAAGTGTGCATATTTTAATCTAAGAGCTTTCTTTCATATGTCTAGTTATTCCGATGTGAGAATGAAAATTATTCAACATTAAAACCATAAAGGCAGTGGATCGAAATGGGTTTTATAGACACACTGATGTGCTCTGTTTTAAGCCCTAATTTTCTCCTCCTTTAGAAAGAGATCGTTTGAGTTAATTATTGGTATAATTCAAAATGACATCCAGTTAATGTAGCAGAGCCTAACAGACTCTCAGTCTGTCCAGGAAGCTGATTCCACTGTGGGGAATGGAATCCTATCAGCCTCCAGACTGCTGTCCCCAAAATATATCCTCACACTCACTAGCAATGTGTCTGAATTAGTAGCCAGTCACAAGCTAGAGGGTGAAACAATGCATGCAATCCTTATATTAATAGTAACATTTCCTGAATACCAAAATGAGCCGAGCACTGTTTTAAGAATTTTACATGTGCTCAATTAATTTAGCTTCTCAACACCCCTATGAGTTAGGTGCCTGTTTTGCAGATTAGGAAATAGACACAGAAAGTTCGAATAACTTGCTCCAAAATTCCCAGCTATCAAGGGGCAGAACTAGAATTAGTGTCCAGGCAAAGTAGCTACCAAGCCAGTGATCTTAATCAAGACTTTGTGCCCCCTTAAATAGCTTTCTATTCCTTTATATTACAGAATAATCTACATGTAGTGGCTTAAAAGCAAATCATATTTTATATTGGGCTCCACAAAATGGCATTTAAAACACCAACATTTACTTATGAATAAAGGCCCATGTTTATGCTTGGGTAAATATACTAACAGATGAGTGACCATCTGTGTGCTTCTAAAAAAAAAAAAAGAAAGAAAGAAAGAAAAGAGAAAATAAATTAATAAATTAAAAAAAACCAAAAAAATATATACTAACAGGGTCTAGTGAGCTCACTTAAGTCAAGTAGCCATTAGATTAAAAAAAAAACAAAGAATCAACATAAGCTTTGGACTACCAATTTTTTGGTTCTGATGAACATTAAATATTTTACTAACTTCCCCAGAGACAGATAGCAACCAATATAAAAATAACATCACACCACTCTTTGAAATTACTTGAGGGAAAAACACTTAATGGGAAAAATTACCTAAATATTCTTGCAATCTTTAAACATTTCAAGGTAAAATCTTTTATTTGGAGAAATACATATAACTGTTAAATATATTCTAAAATCCTAGGCTATTCTCTTCTAAAGCAATACAATTTTAAGGATCTTAATTCTAACTATAATTTAGCCTTCTAGCATTTTCTACATAAGGACAACATAAGTCACTTATGAAATGACTCAGTGCTGACCAGTAGAAATATCAGCACAGATGAGGTTTGCCACTGTGAATATGATCAGATTCTCTTGATTCTGGTTTGTAAATGACGAGATAGAGAAATATTAGAGTCTTTGAGTTACTGTAGGCCTTGATAATGCTAGTAGTTGAAGAGAAGTTTGCTACCAAACCATCAACATTAGCTGATGATTTCTAGAGCTTGGTAATACTTCCTCTTTTATAAAAACAAAGCACTAAATATTACACAGTTGTGCTCAGTTGAAAACAATTTCGATTTGCCTTTATTGCATTTATTTTCAAAAGCTATAACTTACCCGGGTAGCAAGCATCATGACAATGCAAGCAACTGTGATATAAAGCCATTTGCTATCAAGAATATCAAGAGAATCGAATTACCTGGTATCTTGCACCTTCCGAATGCCTGGCTTCTTTTGCAGGATTAGCAATCTCTGGGCATTTTTCCTGAAATTTAAAGTTGGTCCGAGTGGCCAGTGGCCAATCAGCACTGGCTCACTGGGTCCTAGCAAACAATTTGTCACAAATGCCCACAGATAACCACAGGGGGCAAAGTAATTTTAATCTAAAAATGTTTTTGTGGTGGAAAGCTGCTATCAAATGTTCCAGAAAGTGGGATAAACAAAGGATATAAATACCTCAGTTTGGACATCATGTTGTCAGGTAATTAGAATTGATCTCGGAACTGTTAATTAGGACTGACTGGATACCTAGCAAGTTGGTAAGTGGAAGATAGTTTTGCTAGCTTTTTATGGAGGACGTTGATAATCTCAATTTTGCCTGAATGCAGTTCAGCGATTATTGAACAGAAATGTTTTTAGTGCCTACTATGCGAAGGGCATTGGAGAAACAGCAGTGAGAAAAGTGGACAGAAAAAAAAAATCCCTAACTTCATGGAGTCTGGAACCCAATAGGGGAGACTAGACAGTGATATAGGCTAAGACTGAGGGAAAACAGTACTGTAGTGACAGGGAATAACACTCATGGAGGTAGGGACACTGGGTTGAAATTTTAGGTAGAGGGACGGTCTCTTCGAGAAATGGACTTTTGAGTTTATAGCCATACCACCCTGAATGCACTTGATCTAGTCTGGAAGCGAAGCAAGGTTGGGCCTGGTTAGTACTTGGCTGGGAGAAATCGACTTTTGAGAAAAGACCTTGCAATGCTTTGAATGCCTGCATCCCTCCCAAATTCCCATGTTGGAAATTAAACCCCAACGTGATTGTATTAAGAGATGGAGCCTTTGGGAAGTGATTAAGCCACCAGGGAAGAGCCCTCATCCATGGGATTAGTGATCTTATAAAAGGGCTAGAGCAGGGGTCCTCAAACTTTCTAAACAGGGGGCCAGTTCACTGTCCCTCAGGCCGTTGGAGGGCCGGACTGTAGTTTTAAAAAAAAGCTATGAACAAATTCCTATGCACACTGCACAAATCTTATTTTGAAGTAAAAAAAAAAGACGGGCAAAAACACCCGCAAGTGGCCCTGTGGGCCGTAGTTTGAGGACGCCTGGGGTAGGGGGACCTTTTTGCTCTCTGCTTTTCCGCCATGTGAGGACACAGCATTCGTGCCCCTGGAGGACATGGTGACAAGGCCACACCTTGGAAGCAGAGACAGCCAGCTCTCACCAGACGCCACCGTTGAACTTGCCGGCGCGTTGCTCTAGGACTTCCCAGCCTCCAGAACCGTGAGAAATAACATTTCTGCTCTTTACAGATTACCCAGTCCGCTGCATCCTGTTCTCCTGCGTGAACAGACTGAGACGGGCCCGTAGCCACCTGACTACCTGTGGCAGGAACGTCCCAGGCAGAAGGAACAGGAAGAGCAGAGCCCCAGAAACGAGAGCCTGCTGGATGCTTCTAGAAACAGAGAAGAGGCCAAGTTGGCTGGAGTGCTGAGCAAGTAGCACAGCGGCAAGTGAGGTGAGAACGGCATTAGATGGTGGATTATGTCGGGTCTAAAAGCCATCACAGGGCTTCTGATGTTACCCTGAGGACGCTTGGAGGGGCTTGGGCCAGACTGGTGGCAGAAGGGGTGACAAGAGGTGGTCATATTCTGAGTGAATCTGGAAAGAAAAGCCAGTAGGGTTTGCCAATGTGCTGGATGTTAGTTGTGACAAAAAAAAAAAAAAAAATCAAGACTCAAGATGGTACCAAGTTTTTTGCCCTGAGGAGCTGGAAGAATAAAGTTGCTTTTTCTATTGACCCCGGGGGAAAATGCAGAAGATAGTTTTAAGGGAAATATTGTGAGTTGGACATGAATTTGATGAAACGGTCAATTTAGGCCACTGAATTAGTAGCGTACACCCTGGAATAAGCCTTTCTAGGGTGACTGCATGCTCCCTTGTTTTGGCCAAACTGGAGGCCAAAATCATTATTGTCATGGTTTGAAAGTTTCCGTCCCATCCAAAAATGCTATCATACCGTTATAGTTCTATACATTAGAGCTATCTGTAAAAGCATCAATAAATGATTACGTAAGATTTCTTTAACCTATACTGCGTGATAAGAATTACCTATAGTTCTACGCAATTTTAACAGACTATAAATGATATATAATGAGATTTGAGTATAAATTCCCAATTTTCCCCAACTTCCCAAATAGACAAAAACCAAAATAAAACAAACCAAAAAAACCCCAGCCTTTGGACAGTTTTGGCTGAGAAAATGGTGCCTTTTGGAGTTCAGGCCAAATGCTACTTTTTGCCTGGTCTAAATTCTGTTTATATTCTGCTGAGCAATTGGAGATGGGTTTGAAAACTCTTAGAGAGTGAGGGTTGAGTTTTGGGACCGGGCCAGTGTTGATCGACGGCATTCAACCATGATGTTAGAATATTTGAATGTTGTCGGTCCACAAAGGAGACATTTCACTCTGGTAGCCTCGAAGTCAAACAGACCCGAGTTCAAATCCTGACGCTATTGCTTGTTTGCCGTGGTAAGTTGTTTCAACGACTACATTGAATGTCTCCGTGCCTCAGTTTCTCTAAGAATGGGAAGCACATTAATAAGCTAAACTTTTATTTAGGAACGACTACGATCCAAGTGTTATTCTAAGGGTGGTGCATTGACTCATTTAATCCTCACGACAAATCTACGATGGAGGTACTATTCTTGCCATCCTGATTTTAGCGATAAGATTTAGGTGACTTGCTTAGGGTCACACACCCAGCAAGTAGAAAACTAAGAATTTGCAATTAGACAATCTGACTCCAAAGTGAGGTTTTGAAACCACTGCACTATGGCTCATAAGGTCAGCATAAATATTAAATCTACAAATTCTACAAGGCACTTGGCCCAGTGCCTAATTAAGTGATCAGTAGACCCATCTCACCAATTCTTCCCATCGTTAATAAATGATCTGGTATTTAGATGAAGGATACATCCTTCTGTATCTGTTTTCTGTTCTCTGTTGATTTTCCTACCATGTCTTCTTCTCTGATTCATTTAATGCAGCAGCCAAAGCAATGGAACCTGGAAAGAAATAGTAGAGTTACAGTTTAAGAGAACGTCATGGTCGATTTCTCTGGACATCGTAAATATTCACGACCAAAATTTCAGCAAAGTGTCAAGGATTTGGGTGACATGGCCAGAGGCCAACAAGGAAATGAAAGCCAAGGAAAGAAAGGCAATAAACAAGAGTGTTCGGTCAACTATGAGATTGAAGAAAAATACAAAGTTTTCTAAACAGTAGACAGATGTGAAAACTACAAAAAAAATGCTCATTTTCAACTTTGGATATTCTGTGAAAGCAATGGACGATTCAGAAATTTCTATAACAATTTGTAAGTTATGCAGTGTTTTAAACTATTACGTTGTTCTGTAACATTAACTTTATAGTTTGAATTATCCAGATAAAAGAGTAGGCATCTGATTGTCAGTTGTCTATGATACAGCCTTAGACAATGTTCACTGGTTTTTATTCATTGCTATAATTTTATGAATAGTGTCAGATATTTCTCTTTTATTTATTTAGTTTTTTGAGACAAAGTCTCGCTTTGTTGCCCCGACTAGAGTGAGTGCCATGGCATCAGCCTCGCTCACAGCAACCTCCGACTCCTGGGCTCAAGCGATCCTCCTGCCTCAGCCTCCCGAGTAGCTGGGACTACAGGCATGCACCACCATGCCTGGTGAATATTTTTTTTCTATATATATTAGTTGACCAATTAATTTCTTTCTCTTTATAGTAGAGATGGGGTCTTGTTCTTGCTCAGGCTGGTTTTGAACTCCTGACCTCGAGCAATCCGCCAGTTGTGGCCTCCCAGAGTGCTAGGATGACAGGCGTGAGCCACTGCGCCTGGCCCAGATAATTCTCAAATGTGCTTTTCCTTTTTTTTCTTTCTTTCAAAAGAATTTTAGTGTGCATGAAAAAAATTTCTCTCTCCTTTAAGTGATGGGAACATATCTAATTCTGATCTAGAAAAATGCGTGTTCTAGAGAAAATTCATAGAATTTTAAGAGGCAAAAAACTGACTTAAAAAAATAAAAAGAAAAAGCTAACTCTAGTTCTACCAAAGAGTGAACTGGCAGTAGCTAAATATACATGCTCCAAAAGCTAAAATGAATTCAAAGCTACATAAAAAAAATTCAACTTGAGTTTTAAATTTAGAACCTACAATTGACAAAAGCAAAAAAAAAAAAAAAAAGTGAGAGCCTATTCTAGCTGGAAGTTTGCAGAGAAGAAATTCTGGGGGAAAAAATTAGAAGAGTGATCATTGCAAAAGTTACAATATAAAATAGAGATTTTACTTCTACCTTTTTGAGGAAACTTGCCCCTCTGTGTTGAGCTTGAACTTCAAAAATTCAACGTAAGTTTCCTAAATGCTTTTGTGTAATAAAGACTTTTGCCATAACATTTTTTTTTTTTTTTTTTTTTTTTTTTTGAGACAGGGTCTCACTCTGTCGCTTGGGCTACAGTGCCGTGACATCAGCCTAGCTCACAGCAACCTCAAACTCTTGGGCTCAGGCGATCCTCCTGCCTCAGCCTCCCGAGTAGCTGGAACCACAGGCATGCACCACCATGCCCGGCTAATTTTTTCTATTTTTAGTAGAGACAGGGTCTCGCTCTTGCTCAGGCTGGTCTTGAACTCCTGATCTCAAGCGATCCTCCCGCCTCGGCCTCCCAGAGTGCTGGGATTATAGGCGTGAGCCACCTCGCCTGGTCTACTTCTACCTTCTTGAGGAAACTTGTCCCTCTGTGTTGAGCTTGAACTTCAAAAATTCAACGTAAGTTTGCCAAATGTTTTTGTGTAATAAAGACTTTTGCCATAGCATTTCTTGAGAAACAATAACCAAAGTTAAAACCAGGGTTCTGCAAAAAGAAAGACTATGTATCCGCACACCAGCGCTATTTAACTGGAAAACAAAACAAAATAAAACAAAACTAGGAAGCAATAGAGAAAGGCAGGAAATGGACAGTTGAACTTTCTTCCGGTTCCTGGTTCAAAGTTCACAAGAATAGACACACCCACCCATGATGCACCTGCCTTGCTTTGCTGGGCTGGGCTGACGCGTAGACTTTTCTCCTCCAAGAGATGATGGATGAAAGTTGTCCATGAAGCATGTTTCATCTTGTGGTAGCTTTTTCATTTCCCACCCCTTACTTGAGGGGTTGAGTGCAGGAATCCTTCAAAAACAGCCATATAAAATGTTGGCCAAGCCCTACTGAACCTCTACTTTCAGTTTCAGCTATTGCTCCCTCATCCAGGCATGCAAGTTTTTCGTTTTATATTTTCTCTTCTATTGCTTTGATACACGTTTTAAAACTTAGTATGGTAGGGAATCTTTTTTCCCCTCTGTGATCTTGGTCCTTAACTTATTCTAACACTATCAAGATAACACATTTATCTGCTGTCGTTTTAGAGGTGAACTTACACTGTGTATTTTTTCCATATGTTCTAACTAACTGAAATTACTCTCTATTTTCTCCTTTACATACACAACATACAAATAGTATTTCTCCTCCAGCATCAGAGAGGAAAAATCTCGAAAAGTGTTGTGACTAGAACAAAAAGGCTCTATGTGTGATGATCTCCTCTTTATCATACAAATGCTTAGATTGGTCAAGGCTTCAGGAATTTTACAGAAGTATTTATTTCCCATTGATCTCCAAAATAGAACATGCTGGCAGTCTTGCCCTGTTTCCAGCAGAAGAAAATGTTTTGGTTTTAAATATATTCATTCATGAGGATATTCATTCCTCACCATGAGGTATTTGCCCCAAGCTGGAGAAAGGCCACTTTTTTCTCCCTTTACAACCAACTTTCCCATTTTCCCAAAATTATTTTTTATTTTGAGTTCTTCTTATTATTTTTTCTCTCTCAGTGTTTGGGAATTTCAACAGAAGTCCGTAAACAATTTCAGCCAGATACAGAAATGGCATGGAGCTCGCTGTGCTCATTTCTCTGGGCTACTTGTTTACCCATTCAGCTATTACCAGCAAGGGAAGACATGTCAATATAATTTGCTTTTATTTTTACATTAGAAAGATGTCTTATTACGCCTTAAAATACAACTCAGAGGATGTAGTTAAAATATAATTATAATGATACCAGTCCTTTCCTTCGGAGCTTGGTGACATTGCTGGAAGTGACTGTGAAACTCGGTTGTGTCACCTCAAGAAGAAAGTATCTCTCATTCTCAAAATAGTCTTTTCCACAGGTTGCCGTTTTGTTTCTCAGGATCGAGAATCTCTTCCTTAGGAGACACGAGCATTTACCAGCTAGTTATTCATCGTATTGGACATGTATTAAAATATATATATTTTTTTACCAAATTAGGTCACATTCAGTCTTGTCAGTTTTTAATTCTTAACTTCGTGTTTATCGGTATTGCATTATCATTTTATTTTAGCTCTTCTTGCATGACTTTCTTCATTCTCCCAAACCCCGATTTTTCTCTGTGCTCGTTAGTTCCTGTTCCAATATCTATTGCCATGTAATTCACCATTTCAAAACGTAGTAGTGTAAGGCTGGTGGCAGGGTCCCTAAGCCCCTCCCTAGATCAAAAAGAAAAGGCTCACGAGACCAGACCCGCCAAAGACAACTGTCAGTCCCCGCTGAAAACAACCACACCTGGATGTCCATCCAGTTAAGAAAGTCTTCGGTTCCTGGATTCCGCAAATACCGCAAGCCCCTCCTATTTCTCAATAACTGCAGAAGGTCACAGTGGAAAATCCCCAGCTCTTCCTTCCAAAAGTCCCTGGTCCACCTCAAACAGTATAAAAGCCCTAACCGCGTCCAAACAGACTTGACTTCTCAGGCCCCCTCTCTTGGGACCCTCGAACCTCGCCCGGGAGTGCTCAATAAAGCCACGTTGTTTGGCCCCACTCTCTCTCTATTTCTTTCGCCGCTGGAAAACTTTACAAGTAGTTTGAAATACTAATTTATTATTTCCTCTCAAGGTTCTCTGGGTTGACTTGGCTCAGTTTCATAGTTCTCACTTGGGATCTGTCACATGACACCCATCAGAAGCGGGTGGGTGCAGGAATCATTCAAAAACTGGACTGGGTAGCAAGCACATTCAGTGGTGGGAGGTCACGTGGGAGCTTTCCCACATGACCTCTCTCCAGCAGAACGGGCCGGGCTCCCCAAATGGAAACTCGGGACTTGAAATAATTGATGGGCTAAAAACAAATCGCTCACAACTAGCTGAGCTATACAGCAAGCATGATAAGTCAGGTGACTGGGCTCCCCACTAGCTTAACAGCCTGAAATAGGACATCAGCCAAAATGACCCTGAGACTAAGGACTGAGTAATGAGTGAAAATTCTACTGTCAAGAAGGAAATCCATTTCAACACAGGGAGGATAGGCTCTGTGGGGTGTGGGGCTCTGGGAAGGAAAATGGGGTGAGTTTTTCTTTAAAGCCAAAACTCACAGTCTCCATCTCATTCTAGAAAAAGACAGTTCTGGGTGTTGGTAATTGGCAGGCAGTAGCTGATCTATTTGGTTTCTCTGTCCGGGCCTCCTCCTACATGATTATGATGTCTAGTTACCCCACCTTTCTCTTTGTATGGGACACCCTTGCAGAATTATGAGGCCTTAGGGTCCTTTTTCTGTAGAAGCCAGATGGTGCTGCCATCAGCAGGCCAGGTGGCCACATTAGGGTTAATAACAAGTGTCATTCAGGATTTTAATTTCATTTCTACAAAACGACACTGACAAAAACAGCACATGAAAATTTCATCCATGTCCTCGTCTTAATCTTATTTCAAAAATCTCTTAAAAGGCATTCAAAAGATGTAAATTCAAACTATATAGACCACAGGTTTTATTTTGCAAGGGAAGTCAATTGGTTTGCTCTCCATAACACCGTTAGTCAAGCCCGTGTAGCTTCAGAGCTTATGTGCTTTGCACGATGCCAGGCTGCCTGTGTAGCAAGATATACACAAAATATGAGAAGATCCTGAGCCAGGCATGGTAGCTCACACCTGTCATCCTAGCACTCTGGGAGGCCAAGGTGGGAGGATCGCTTGAGCTCAGGAGTTTGAGACTAGCCTGAGCAAGAGTGAGACCCCGTCTCTACTAAAAATAGAAAAAAAAAAAAAATGAGCCAGGCATGGTGGAGTTCACCTGTAGTCCCAGCTACTTGGGAGGCCGAGGCAGGAGGATCCTTTGAGCCCAGGGGTTTGAGGTTGCTGTGAGCGAGGCTGATGCCATAGAACTCTATCCTGGGCAACAGAGTGAGACTCTGTCTCAAAAAAAGAAAAAAAGGGAAGATCCTGGATTTGAAAATATTCTTTAGGGTTCAAGTCATAAAATGCAGCTCATTCTAAGGGAATTGTGATATAGGACAAAGCTCAGCAATGTTTTCATCCTGCCCATCCTGCCCATCCATTCCTGATGAATCTACATGAATGAATGTTGCATAATGGTAAAGATTCGCATTTCCCACAAAGCCCAGTCCTGCTTTCGTTCTACAGCCCAGCCTAGTGCCTTGCTCCTGGGCCCGCCAATCCCTCCATCAATCAAAGTCTGCCGAACTGTTTGCGCTTTTCGTTTTGAACGCGTCTCCCTTTGGTTGCCAGGCTAGCGCTGGACGTGCCGTGGGCGTCAGGCCTCCGCTCACGCAAACCTCCCAACTCCTGGGCTCAAGCGATCCCTCCTAGGCTCCCTCCCAGTACCTGGGCCTCACAGGCCTGCGCCACCGCATGCCTGGCTTAACTTCTTTTCTCTCTAATATTACGTTGGGCCCCAACTTAATTTCTTCTCTATTCTATAGTAGAGCGGGGTCTCGCTCTAGCTCCGGCTGGTTTGGAATTCCTGACATGACGTCCTCCCGCCTCGGCTCCAGAGTGCTACGGCTCGCGCGTGCGCGCGCTCGCTCCTCGAAGCTTCGCCTCGGGTTCATGCTCCTCACTGCTGCGCTCTCCTTCGCGCGCTCTCAAGTGAGCCTAATAGTAAGCTGACTATTGCGATACCTGGGACAAACTTTCTTGATAAGGCTGTATATTTGTCTTTCTTTTATTTAATTCCTTTAAATGGGCATTCGTATATTGGCAATATACTGTCATCCTTATCTTCAGAGTTCTGAGAATGTTAACCAGTATTCGGCTATCGTGGGGGAGATTTTCTTTGTATCTGTTGGCTAAAGTGCGAAGCTCATGGACTGTCATACGTGTCACGCACCTCCTCTTCCGTGCTTTGGCAAAAAAGCATGTATTAGTATTCACAAGGAGAGGGACACAGAAATAGAAAGATGACCTAAAAATGGCAGACCAGTAACCACTGGTGAATCTAGGTGAAAGGAACGATAAGGGTGGACTAATGTACTAATCTTCCAGCTTGTCTACAGCCTTGATGTTTTTCAAATTGAAAATTTGGGACAATGGAGTGGTCATCGGTGCCTCCGACTAAATGCCTGGCTGAGGACGCGCGTTCTTCATTCTCCCATGCTCAGTGTCTAAACGTGGTCCAATTCTGGAGTGGACGTTCTGTGCATCTCGTCAATGAATAAAGAAAAATGTGAACGGATTTTTACTCTTCCCACTCTCTACTTTCCTTTATGATTCCCATTTAAAATGACTTTCAGAGGCCGAGGAGGGAGGATCGCTCGAGGTCAGGAGTTCACAACCAGCCTGAGCAAGAGCGAGACACCGTCTCTACTATAAATAGAAAGAAATTAATTGGACAACTAAAAAATATATAGAAAAAATTAGCCGGGCACGGTGGCACATGCCTGTAGTCCCAGTTACTCGGGAGGCTGAGGCAGGAGGATCGCTTGAGCCCAGGAGTTGGAGGTTGCTGTGAGCGAGGCCGATGCCACGGCACTCTAGCCCAGGCAACAGAGTGAGACTCTGTCTAAATAAATAAATAAATAAATAAACAAATAAATAAATAAATAAAATAAAATGACTTTCAGGTTTACATTAAAGGTGTAAATGGTTGTTAAGAGTTTGTGTATCCGCTTGAAGCTCTGACTTGGGTGGGGCAAAGGCAATTCATGTAACCTAAACATTTGTACCCCTGTAATATTCTGAAATAAAAAAATAAGAATAAAAAGGACAAAAAAAAAAAAAGACTTTGGGTATCAACCCTCCTTTGTGTGTGTGTATATTTGCGTGTAGGTTTTCTACCCCATTCTGCCTCCTGCCCCACCTAAAATCAAATCAAGTAGGAGTGGGGTTTCCAGATAAAACACAGGACATCCATTTAAAGCTGAATATCAGATAAATAGTGAATCATTTATTTAGTATAAATATGTCCCAAATATTTCATGGAGGCTAAAAATTGCATGGGGCATACCCATACTAAAAAATTATTCATTGTTTATCTGAAATTCAAATTTAACAGGCATTCTATATTTACATTTGTTACACCTGGCAACTCTAATAAAAGCCATAATGTATAGATGGCTGTGTTGATTCAGCCACGAGAAAATGTTACAGCTCCTCTGAGTTTTTAACCATAGTGGAAATCAGCTTTTTCTCTTTAAGCCCAATCGTCTCCCATTTGTCTCACCTTTTTCCACTGGGGACCTCTCCCTTCGTTGTGACATGTTTGAAGGATTGCATTTTTATTTCTGATAAAACTCGTAGATAGAATATACATAGGGCTCACATTAAAAAAAAATACACGAGGGTGATCATTAAGTCTAATATACAGTGTTGGGTAGGTAGGGCGATTAAGAAACTACACATTTATTGTATACAGTGTCATTTCATGTCAACGAATTTCTTCTTAGAAGCAGTTCTTGCGCAAAGAGTATGGTTGTTTTTTGTTTTTTGTTTTTTTTTTTGCAGTTAGCAATAGTGCAAACGTTAAAAACTACTATTTCTAGAGCTCAACCTGGAAACAAGTTTCTAGAATCCCATCCCAGGGATGGGCGTGCCTAACTGGATCAAGGGCATCAGCACAACGAAGGAACCTTCCAGAACACCCCAGGGGAAAGCGACAGGAAGCCCAAGGCCTCTGCAGAAGCGACTGCCGAGGGTCACCGGGGAGCCACACGGGTGGCAGCACCCTGCGGACACGGCGAGGGGCCCGCTTGTCACACTGCCCCTTCCTGAGTTGAGCTTGGCAGACGGTGGCCAAGGTGCCAAGGCCGGCAGGGACGCCTTGGTCCCCCGGGGCGGGCCTCACTGGTGGTAGTAGTAATCCTGACCCTCATAGCCGTCGTAGCCTCGCCCTTTGTAGTAGCCGTACTCGTCCTCGTAGGCTCGGTAAGTGTCCCCGCGAGGGTCCCCGTTCTCGCTGTCGTAGACCTCGTAGCCGTCGTCAAACTCGCTGGTGGCCGTCTGCTCGTAGTCGCCGCCGTAGGCAGGGCTGGTGGCTCTCCCGGGCGGCGGGGAGGTGGTGGCATAGACCTCGGGCGGCGGGGAGGTGGTGGCATAGACCTCGGGCGGCGGGGTGGTGGTGGTGGCCCGGAGGCCCCAGCTTGGGGAGGTGGCGGCCCCGGTGACACTCCCTTCCCCGCCGTCACCGCTGTCGCCGTTTTCCGTCTCGGTGCTGTTGGAGCTGGTGCCGTTGACGCCTTGCTCGTTTTCGTCCACCTCTGCCTCGTCTTCCTCCTTTCCTTCCTCCTCCTCCTCCTCTTCCTCCTCCTCTTCTTCATCGCTTTCCTCCTGTTTGGTGGCTTTGCTTCTCACAGCCCCAGCCTGCACAGAAAAGTTGCAAAGAACACAGATCTAGGTGTGAAAAAAAAAAATGTAAAACTTGAAGTCGTCGCTTTGTCCGACACCCAGCCTGGCTCTGGGTGTCGTTTTTGTTTTTTTGTTTGTTTTTGTTTTTTTGTTGTTTTTTTTGTTTTTGTTTTTTTGTTTTTTTTGTTTTGTTTTGTTTTGTTTTTTGACACAGAGTCCCTTAATCTGTCCTGTTCTTCCCTAGAATGCAGTGGTATCTCTTCAGACCTTTTGTCTACTCCTAGATGACCTTAGTCTTCTGTTATAGTGTCAAACAGGGATCCTCAAACTACGGCCCGCGGGCCACAACCGCCAAGCTAAACAAATAGAGAAAGACAATACACACGGAAAGTATCTTTCATACAGAATTGAGCTTCAGGCTTAACATGAATATGGTAACATGGTGTAATAGGACGTTTACTAGTTGATGCCCGCGTGAAGCTCTGACATTGGGAATGAGGCACACACAAGGCCACTGCATCACTAATGACACGAGCTTTGCTTAATACCCCTGTATATTCTGAAATACCCTAAAATACACAAACACAAAGTACAAGACACCAAACATTTTTGAGTGATATCAACCCTGGCCATCAGCCTTCTGTGCGAGGTGCGTCAATAATTGTCACGTGTGAGTGGGTCCTTATCTACAGGATCCCTATCTGTCCGTCACTGCCACCTCCGCTACAGGGTAAATCAGCAAACAAATCAAGTAGGAGTGGGTTTCCAGATAAAACACAGGACACTCATTTAAAGCTGAATATCAGATAAATATGGTGAATCATTATTTTAGTATAAATATGTCCCAAATATTTCATGGAGGCGAAAAATTGCATGGGGCATACCCATACTAAAAAATTATCATTGTTTATCTGAAATTCAAATTAACAGCATTCTATATTTACATTTGTTACACCCTGGCAACTCTAATAAAAGCCATAATGTATAGATGGCTGTGTGATTCAGCCACGAGAAAATGTACAGCTCCTCTGAGTTTTAACATAGTGGAAATCAGCTTTTTCTCTTTAGCCCAATCGCTCCCATTTTCTCACCTTTTCCACTGGGAACCTCTCCCTTCGTTGTGACACGTTTGAGAGATTGCATTTTTATTGTCGATAAAACTCGTAGATAGAATATACATAGGCTCACATAAAAAAAATACACGAAGGGTGATCATTAAGTCTAATAATACAGTGTTGGGTAGGTAGGGCGATTAAGAAACTACACATTTATTGTATACAGTGTCATTCATGTCAACGAATTTCTTCTTAGAAGCAGTTCTTGCGCAAAGAGTATGGTTGTTTTTTGTTTTTGGTTGTTTTTTTTGTTTTTTTTTTTGCAGTTAGCAATAGTGAAACGTTAAAAACTACTATTTCTAGAGCTCAACCTGGAAACAAGTTTCTAGAATCCATCCCAGGATGGCGTGCCTAACTGGATCAGGGCATCAGCACAACGAAGAACCTTCCAGAACACCCACAGGAAAGCGACAGAAGCCCAAGGCCTCTGCAGAAGCGACTGCCGAGGTCACCGGGAGCCACACGGGTGGCAGCACCCTGTGGACACGGCGAGGGCGCGCTTGTCACACTGCCCCTTCCTGAGTTGAGCATTGCAGACGTGGCCAAGGGTGCCAAGCCGGCAGGACGCCTTGGTCCCCCGGGGCGGGCCTCACTGTGGGTAAGTAATCCTGACCTCATAGCGTCGTAGCCTCGCCCTTTGTAGTAGCCGTACTCGTCTGTAGGCTCGGTAAGTGTCCCCGCGAGGGTCCCCGTTCTCGCTGTCGTAGACCTCGTAAGCCGTCGTCAAACTCGCTGGTGCGCTCTGCTCGTAGTCGCCGCCTAGGCAGGCTGGTGGCTCTCCCGGGCGGCGGGGAGGTGGCTGGCAGAGACCTCGGCGGCGGGGTGTGGTGGCCCGGAGCCCCAGCTTGGGGAGGTGGCGGCCCCGGTGACCTCCTCCCCGCCGTCACCGCTGTCGCCGTTTTCCGTCTCGGTGCTGTTGGAGCTGTGCCGTTGACGCCTTGCTCGTTTCTCCCCACCTCTGCCTTCGTCTTCCTCCTCTTCCTCTCCTCCTCTCCTCCTCTCCTCTTCTCATCGCTTTCCTCCTGTTTGGTGCTTTGCTTCTCACAGCCCCAGCCTGCACAAAAGTGCAAAGAACACAGATCTAGGTGTGAAAAAAAAAATGTAAAACTTGAAGTCGTCCTGCTTGTCCAACACCCAGCCTGGCTCTGGGTGTCGTTTTTGTTTTTTTGTTTGTTTTTGTTTTTTTGTGTTTGGGTTTTTTTGTTTGTTTTTGTTTTGTTGTTGTTTTGTTTTTGAACAGAGTCTGTCGCTTGTCGCCAGGCTGATATGTAGTGCCGTTGGCGTCAGCCTTCGCTCACGGACAACCTCAATCTCTGCCTCAAAGCGATCCTCTGCCTCAGCCCCTCCCCGATAGCTGGACTACAGGATGCACCACCACACCCGCTAATTTTTTTCGTACTATGATATTAGTTGCCATTAATTTCTTTCTTATTTTTATAGAGAGCGGGTCTCGTCTTCTCAGCTGGTTGAACTCCTGACCTTGACATCCCCCCTCGGCTCCCAGAGGTGTAGGATTACAGGCGGAGCCACTGCGCGCCGCCTAGTGTCGTTTTGAACCGAAGTCAATTAACCAAAGTCAATTTAACTCACAGAAGTTGGACAGCGTTGAACCTCAAGTTAAGTACCTTGTCATGGTTTTTGGGTAAGATGTGCATGTCCCATCAGCCTTTTGGGGGCAGATTCTTCCTATAAGCTGTATTTTATTATTTATTTGGTGAGACAGAGTCTCACTCTGTTCGCCCCAGCGTAGAGTGGAGTGCGTGTGTCAGCCTCGCTCACGAGCAACTCCAACTCCTGCTAAGCATCCCTGCCTCAGCCTCGCCGAATCAGTTGGGACTAGATCATGCGCCACCACGCCCGCTAATTTTTCTATATACTCTTTAGTTTGTTACGAATTTCTATTTTTTTTTAGTAGAGACGGGATCTCAATCTGCTCAGGCTAGGTCCGGAACTCGTGAGCTCAAACGAATCCTCCCGCTCGGCCTCCAGAGCTGGATTACAGCGTGAGCCAACCACGCCAGCCCCTTACTACAGCTTTTGCTACTCCCTTAATCTTCTGTTTCTTCCCTAGAATGCAGTGGTTATCTCTTCTCAGACCTTTGTCTACTCTAAATGACCTAGTCTTCTGGTTATAGTAAGCATAACATGTCCTCAAAACTACGGCCCGCGGGCCACAGCGGGCCCACCAGTGTTTTGCCACACTGCCTGTCCTGCTTAGCAGCCGGACTCGTCCGGGACCCGCAGTGTGCACTCTCCAACCGTCTGAGGACAGTGGTGCCCTGTTTAAAAGTTTTGAGATGCCGGGGAGATGGCTCATAACGTTAATCCTAGCACTCTGGAGGCCGAGGCGGAGATGCTCAAGGTCAGGAGTTCAAAACCAGCCTGAAGCAAGAAGACCGTCTCTACTATAAAAGGAAAGAAATTAATTGGCCAGACGTAATATATATAAGAAAAAGATTAGCTGGCCTGGGTGGGCGCATGCCCGAGTCCCAGCTCACTCGAGGCTGAGGCAGGAGGAATCGCTTGAGCCAGGAGTGGAGGTTGCTGTGACGAGGCTACACCACGGCACTCACCTTAGCCGGAAGCTCAACTCAAAGTATTTTGTAATCCTTATCTCCATCAACAATCGATCGTGTGCGTTAAGTATCTCTGCTTTCTATTTTAGTTCTAAAGCAAGAGCTCTGTCTCAAATAAATAAATAAATAAAATAATAAATAAATAATAATAATAAAAATAAAAATTTGAACCCCTGAATCATTGTTAAAAAGTCAGGCAAAACATGAGAGAGAGCCTGTTCTTTTTTTTTTTTTGAGACAAGAGTCTCACTCTGTTGCCCAGGCTAGAGTGAGTGCCGTGGCGTAGCCTCGCTCACAGCAACCTCAACTCCTGGTTAAGCGATCCTCCTGCCTCAGCTCCCGAGTAGCGGGACTACAGGCATGCGCCACCACCCGGCTAAATTTTTTATAATATATTCAGTTGGCAATATTTTTCTATTTTTTATAGTAGAGACGGGGTCTCGCTCTGCTCAGCTGGTTTTTGAACTCGATCAGCGATCTCCCGCCTTGGCCTCCCAGAGTGCTAGGATTACAGGCTTCGAGCCATTGTGCCCAGCC